GTAGAGGAGGTGGAGGAGGAGGAGGTGAGGTGTCATGCAACTGGGAGAAATTTAGGAGACATGATAGCCAGCCTGGCTAGCAACCAAACGTGACCTGTTCCATGTCTCCATGTCGAGTCTGCCTAACTGACACAATGATTAGCTCTGGCAGTTTATTAAGTCCACAGCAGCGACAACATAAACACATAGAGGCATGTGTATATGCGTACACACACACACACACACACACACACACATACATATATATGTATATGTCACTTGTGTGTGAAACTTGTCTGAAAGCGTTGAAACTTTTTTGATCTAGCACTTGGATAAAGAGAAAATAAAATCGAAAATCAAGTAATACCTCTATAAATGTGCCTAATATTAAGTCAGTATAAATATTAGATCAAAAAACTATTCAAATCAGGCAATACCTATCTAGATTCTAGATATTTCATTTACTATATATGATAATACAGGAAGTACAAATTTAAGTGATATAAATCATAATGATATAAGCATATAATATTATAATCTTATAATAATATAATATATGAAATCGCGTATTACCTATCAGAGTTCATAGTTTTTTATCTATTCTAAATATTACATTGAATAATAGTTATCGAATATTTTGATAGAATATCAAGTAATACCCATTTAAATTCTACATTTGCCACGTCTATGGATCTATAGGGGATCTTAACGTTAACTGTTAATTTAGGCAACTGTTATGGTAGCTCTATTGTAAAACGGCTTTATACCTGCCAATAGGTGTGGCACATACCTATGTCTACCATATAGTCGTGTTCTTCCGTTATCCACTCTAAAATACATATGTATATACCAGCTTTCAACTCTTTAGATGCTTATAGTATTTCTCGATCTATCATCTCCCCAAGGGCGTAGTCTCGTCTACTAATAGAGTTTTGTCTTGTTTAGAGGGGAATAGATTTGCCAAAGTTCAAGTCTCTGTGGTTACTTTTTACAGTAGCTCTAAAACTGTCGAAAATGCAGTAGGATGCATATATATACATATATATGTATGCATGTATATACCCTATTGCATGTCCACATATTGATTAACCATTGAATTGTATAAATATTGAATCATTTATATCACATTTGAAACTCTTGCCAATACGATGAAAAGGCCAATTCAATTTGGAGTTTAGTTTTTCTGATTGGCAAGTGAAAAAGGCCAACTGAAGCGAATTGCATTTAACCCAATCAAATTGCTGGCAGTCAATTTGAGAATGTTGAGTGATGAACGCAATTGAAAGCCACAGTGAAGCAGCGTTAAAGCGGACGTACATCAAAATGGAGCGAATAAGAAAAAAAAAAAAAAAAAACGAAATAGAAATCGAATTTACATTCGTTATTTATGTTGGTGGCCTTCAGTTAGGATGCTGCAAGCAGCAGAGCAGCAGAGCAGCAGCAGCGCAGCGACAGCTGTTGACTTTTGATGAAAAATCCAAAGGGATTGCAAGGACACGCACACACACACATACACACACACAGCAGTAATTGGCCCACTATGCGTGTGCGCCCTTTTGATGGGCCGATTGCTCCGCACGCACATTTCAATTTTGCGGTTCATGGCTGTCGCTGATGGCTGCGTTTCCGTTTCCGTTGGCGTTGGCGTTGGCCATTTTGTTTGTTGTTTGCTTTGCACCTGTTTGATTCCGCCCCCACACTCACCCACTTGCCCTACCGCACTCCCTCCCTATGTGAATGAGAAATTTGTTGAGCTTCGGGTCGTGCGTGTGCCTCAGCTCGTGAACAATTAACTGGCCATTTACGACTGCTGGCAGCATGTATGTGTGTGTGTGTTTTGTAAACATCGCACGCACCCACCCACACACACACACACTGACACTCCTCTACTCGCTCACACTCGCACACCTTGAAAGGTGTCAAAGCTTAAAGTATTGTTGCAAAATCTGATTTGACACGCAAAGGCAGCGAGCAGCGAATTCAGCAGTCAAAGAGAAAGAAACAGTGAGAGAGAGGGAGAGGGAGAGAAGGGCAGCTTAGAAGTTGCCAGAAATCGTTTAAGAATTAGTCAACTAAGCTTCAACGGACAATAATTGCCGTTTAAATATTTCAGTTAATATGTTGAATGGAACTTAGCTCAGGAATTGAGATGCAGAGGAATTTTGGAGAGGATTTAGAGAGATTGAAAGATGAGAAGGAAATGGGAGAATAGTTAGTGAAGATAGATAGTTGATGACGGAAATAGAGAGACAAAAAAGGAGAGGGGAAGAGGAGCCGTAGAAGAAGAAGTAGTAGAGAAGTAGGATACGGAGATGAGAATGAGAATAGGATGGAAACGGAAAAGCTCAAGATAAATGCGAGGAAAATAGAGTGATGAGTGAGAAGGCAGAGAAACAGAAGGAAGTGGATGAGCAAGGGATACAGGAAACAAAACAGAAAGATGAAGAGGAAGGCGAGCGGACAGGAAGAGACAGAGGAAGAGGAATACGAATAGTGCAAAAGATGAAAAGGAAGAGAAAGGAGAGACACGAAGAAGAAGGAGGACGGGAAATGGAAAAGTATTAGGAACATATTAGAAGAAGAAGAAGCGGAAGATGGCGAAGAAGAGAAAGAGGATGAGAAAGAGAATAAGTAGAGAAAGAGGAAAAGCAAAGAGAATAGCGGAAGACGAGAAATGACCAGTAGGAACAAGATGAAGTGCAAAAGGAAACGAGAGGAAGAAAAATTTTGAGAAAAGAGGAAGGGAAATGCAAAAAGAAGAGCGATAGGAAGGTAAAAATATTCATCAACGAATCGGGCTTCGCAAAGAAGTAGATAGATAATCTGAGATACATATGAGAGAAAAAGAGAGCTAGAGGAAAGTTGATATATTATTGATATATTATGTATAAAGAGAGAAAATATAGTAATAATAAATAGATTAGAAGAAATCGAGCGAGAGAAGGGGGAGAGGGGACGGAAAGAAGGAGAAAGGAGACATATGTAAAATCTGGAAGGAAAAGACGATGCGTGTGAGAGATTTTAATTAAAAATTATTTAAGAAAGTAATATGTATATGTATATATGTATGTACTTACATATTTCAAAATCAAGCGAATCCAATTTCGCTCTCCTGATTCAATTCGTGCAGTTAATCGCATTAAATGCAAAATTCAATAATGAATTCATATTTAATTGAATGATTCATAGGCAAACTTTTAATTATAGTAAGACAGAGTTGGATAACTCCGAGCTGAATTGAATTGACTTGGTCAACTGAAAGTTCAGCAGGAAAAGGGGAATGAAGAGGAGGAGAGCGGAAGCCTTTGTGTGTTCGCTTTCAGTTCAGTCAGTTTTTCTGTTGACGGAATGCGCAATTCCACGAATCTGTTTGCCCAGTGATCCAGGTGGAGGCGATGGGCGGCTGCCCGTACCCGTGCCGGTGCCCGTAGAGCTCGCTGAGCTCGTCGTTATTTGCTATCGAATTTTAACTGGATTGTTATTGTCCTTTCGCTGACGCTATGCCAAAAGGGTTGCCAGCGTTATCAAACCCTAAGGGCCTTGACATTTTTGAGCCCTCTTTGGCCTCGTTGGCATTTTCGCGTTTTCACATTTTCACGTCCTTGTTGCCTATTTGCGTTTTTTTCCGGCTTTATTTTTTCTTCTTCTCTTCACTTTTTTTTTTTTGTCCGTCTGCAGGCAGAAGCCGTGCATAACGCTTTGGCATTGTGCGCGCCAGCATCCTAGAATCTGGCATCTGCAGCCACCTTCTTTGGCTTTTCGTAAGCTCCACCCCGCCGTCCCGCCGGCCCCTCCCCAACGCCCCATTCAGTCGCCTTTCATCCATTAGGGCTCATTGTCATATGCAGGTTGTTAAGGCAAATACTCTGCCTTTCGTTTGCTTGACTTGACACGGCAAGCGAGCGAAGAACTATGCACAGGAGGAGCTCTGTGTGTGTGTGTGTGTGAGAGAGTGTGTGTGTGTGAGAGAGTGTGTGTGTGTGTGTGTGTGTGCTGGCAGAGTGCAGGATAATTGCAATGACGTCGCATTAGCGTGCTCATTGTGCATTGCGTGCGTGTGTGTGTGTGTATGTGTGTGTGTGTGGATGCCAAGTGTGGAACGTATGATTGCGAGCGTATAGAGCGTGCAATTAATGACATAAAGCGGTGATGTGAGGGCGAAAAGGCGTGTATTCTGAAGTGGATTCTATGTGGATGCTATGCGGCACCTGTACATCTGTGTATTGTGAAGTGGATCGTATGTGGATGCTATGTGGCACCTTTACATATGCATATTATATGTATTGCTAAGCGGATTCTATGTGGATGCTATGTGGCACCTATACATACATAGGTGGATCATGTGTATTGAGAAGTGGATCGTATGTGGATGCTATGTGGCACCTATACATATGCCGAACATATATATTGTGAGGTGTATAGTCTGTGGGTGCTATGTGGAAGTTATATATAGTGAATTTCGAACAAGACGTACATGCCGAGCACATGGATCCTAAACGGTTTCTGTGGATCCTATCTCAGACGTGTGGAGTCCTCTATTCGGATCGAATGTATATTAGTAGAATTGCAAAATGTAACAGTAAGAGGTTGCATGTGGATCGCATGTGGATCGTATGTGAAAATTATGTATGATGCACAGATCACGCGGAACGAATGTGAATTCTACGTTAAATTTAGGAAATTTTCTCATGGGACTTCATCTGGCTCTTTTCTTGAAAATTTATTCAAATCTTGTGGATCATATGAATATATACATCTTATATGTATACGTATATATGAATTAAATATCAGTCGCTTACTTTTCCTTACATTCTTCTTAGCACAAAATAAGCCCAACGGATATTTAGTATCTTAGTAGGTATTGACGAAACTCGAGCTCCCATCTTCTGGGCTGGTTTGGGAAGTATTCATTCTACTCTAGCTTTCTGCTCAATTCACACCTAAAATATAAAAAAAAGTTTAAATTTTTTATTCGTATATTATAAATTTATTTATTCGTGTTTTCCAATTTTTGTCTTTGTTTTTGGTTTTTTTTTTTCTTTTCGAAAAAGTTTTTGAAAATGGAGTTGAATTATGGTCCGATTATTTTAACTGCGCTTATTGCCGTATGTGACCACTACTGGGGCATCACGCTCACAGAGCCGGATATGCACGAGCCGGACATAACGTCGGTGATGTTCATTTGTTCGGTGATTATGATCTTGATGCATCCATCGATGGTAGTGCCCTTCGGTTGTCGCGCGGGCATCTTTCTGTATGTGGGCCTCTGCCTGGTCATACACTATCTCGTCCTGGCATATCCGTGGACCTGTTTCAATCGATTGCTCGTCAAGCTCTTACCTGAAGCGGTCATTCTGCCCTTCTCGTGCCGCATGCTCGTCTCGACGGCCATGATGATCATCGCCATAAGCCACTGGCGCCGTCGCTCTAACGACGCCATCAACGATGCCATCAACGAGGTGTACATGGAAATCCTTGGCAATGGCGGCTTCTTTCCATACATGGACATGTTCCCACTGAACAGTGGCATGCACTTCTGTAAAATAGCTCGATTCTTCATTAACAATTGCAACCGTGACGATATCGGCGTACATGTGCTGGCTACCGAGAGCAACGATCAATTCATCTGCTGTGATATGAATAATACCATCATGCCCATACCTGTCGAACCGCCGCCATTGCCAAATATCGATCAGCTACGCGATGAGATCAGCCGCTGCTTGCGCCAGTCACCTCAACTTGACTGATGCGATTGCCAGCAATTTTTCTTTTATAGTCGTTACTGTTGTTGTTGTTTTTTTTACAGTAAGTGCTCGCCTGCTGCGTCGCACAACATTTTCATTCAATCCGCACTCATTCCACAGGCAATAGGACCAGCTCAACGCCAAGTCACATCTGATGTTGACTCTCATTCTGTGAATTCCGTGAACTCCATAAATCCGCATTTTAACCAGCTCTACCATCTCAATACGCGAGCTTATCAAGCCTGGGAAGGCAGGCTTGTGGATAATTAGGTCATTTTTAGTCGTAGTTTTTTATACATATACCTGTTTTTTTTTTCTAACATTTTTTCATCATGAACCTTAAATTCGGACGGACAAAATTTTCAGTGTAATAGTCACTTAAGCATATGGATAGATAGCTCCCCTAAATACGTATAGACACCTTTGCCACAACAGCAAAAATTCCTTGATAGTACGATATATATATATATTATATTGGAAGCATATCATATTATCTAATTATGCAAAACAAAATGAATAAAATTCTTTGTCTAACCTTAGACGGTTTTCGTTTATTGTTATTGCCATGCATCATCATTATCATTAGCATTATCATCATCATTAGCATTAGCATTAGTGTTGCTGTTGTTTATGTGAGGCCCGCCTGCAGTTTGGTAGGCGTCGATAATTGTTCTATTAGCAAATTAGCTGCCTGACGGCAGTCGCTGTAGCTGCGGCAGGTGCAAAGCTGCACAGGTAGTGAGCGACAGCTACAGCAGGTGCTACTGCTGCTGCTGCTGCTGCTGCTGCTGCTGCTGCTTTAGCTTTAGCTGCGGCTGCCAACTGGTCCGTGGCTGAGCACGCCCACTGCCACTGCAGCCAGTTTCTGGCTATTTGGGATTTCGTGTCCTTGTCAAAACTCAATATTTTGTGTGTCAAGGTTGACAGTCGCTGCCAAGAAAAAAAAAAAAAAAAAAAAAAAAAAAAATTAAAGAGGGGAAAAGAAAAGAAAACCTGCTGAAGCGTCTGTCAATAAAATCAAAGGGTACTCGATTCGATTCCATTTGATTTGATTC